AATAAAATAAGTTACCTAAACAAAGAGGAGAAACCCTCTTCTATAGTTCCAAAAATGTATGTCTTCTTCCTCTCTGAACCTATCAGAGTATAGAGTGATCCCATCATTTTGTTGGTGATAAGTTCAGTAAAACTAATGGACTGCTTCGTGTGGCACATATATAGAACAATGAATCTCTTTATCCTTTTGTAAGCTAATTCAAGTGCATATGCACCGCTGTTGTTGTCAAGCTAGACAAATGACTAATGGAGGATCACTAGAAAACTATATACTCCCTCTGTTCATCCTTTGAAAATCCTGTTCATTGCCTAGATTCCCTTTTTTATTATGAACCGTAAAAGCTGTTTTATTAAGGACTTGATGATGAGTTATACACTCTTTGCATTTCAATTTACTAGTCATATTTGCATGTATTTTTAAATAATATTTTCACATAATACATAAATGATAATTCAAAATTTTTTTCATATACATATATAGTTATTTTAAGTAATTTTATATACCATATAAAAAAAAAAGTAAATTTATAGACCATAAAAAAACATTACTTAAAAATGCATTTAAAATTGAAGTATCACAAATAAATTAAAACAAAGGGAATGATAGAGAAGTTTTCTTTTTCAAATCTGCTTCACAAAGATATCGAATTTTCAATTTTTAAAATCAGATTCTCACATCTTAAATATTGAAAGAACAAGCTTTGAGTATTTATTACTAATGAGAATAACTTTATTTTCATGTGCCTTATCTGTTTATTAGCTAGAATTATGAATCTTTTTAAGATTCAAGGAGCCAATCTTTCATTGTAAATGCTGAATTTTTTTGAATAAGAGGAAATTTCGAAAGAAAAGAGGAATATTACAAATTGTAAATACTGAATTAACAAACAAAGAATCCCCACTTTTTAATTGTGTGTGGGCCCCACACAAAAAATGGTGGAGATTCATCATACCTTCATTTCAGTTTCATATTTTTTATGCATGAATCATAATCAATCTTTCATGGAAATCAATTTAATCTTATTATTTATTTTTCTTTATTACTACTATAGAAATTTTTATTAAATGCCATTATTATTATTATTATTATTATTGCACAAATTAAATGCCATTTATTATTTACCATAAGGGGTAGTTTAGGAAATAAAGAAAGGGGAAAGAACCCTTTTTTGGTCGTAGACGGACCTCCCAAAATCACGGAAACGTGGTCAAACATTAACGGTCCGGTTCGGGTATGATGTTAGACGGCAATCAACGACCGTAAACCTTGCAGTTGCAGTGGATCCCAAAGCCATGCATCAAGAGCATTTGATATATAATTTTTATATATTATTAAATAAGTAAATATATTTAATATTATAAATTTTACATAAATTATAAAAATTAATTATTTAAATAATATATTAAATTATAAATAAGAATTATAAAAAAACTATTTCTCTTATTATAATCTTATTTTACGGTGCTCTCGAGTTGAGAGAGGGGTCCATTCTCAACCAAGTCACGTCCTCTCCTCGTCCTACCTCGAACCACCACCATTATAAGTAGCCCATCGGGAATCAATTTTAGTGCTTGAAAATCTAGATACTTACCTTTCCTTTTTTCCGTTCCGATTCCCTGGCGACCATTGTCGTACCTTTTTCCCAGACCACACGAGCAAGATTTCTCGGCTTGATTCGTAACTGTAGTAGTCGGCCGTCTTAACACCATTCTTTTCTTCCTGTTTGTTTCCCTGGAAACCGCTTTGATTCCCGTTGTTCTTACTCTGTTCTCGCGACTTCGTGTCCTGAAGCTGTTTGTTTCTTCTTGATCTACCGTATTCCGAAACTTTGAGGTAATTTTTACCTCTCTTCATGTTGATTCATGCATTCTTTTAACCCTAATTCCACGAATGATATTTGAAAGCTCTTTGTGAAGGTAGATTTTCTCTAGTTCTTTCTGTTTTTCCTGTATTTAGTCTTTTTTTCTTCCATTTTAACTCGTTTTTGAGTTTGATTGACTGTGATTTGATTTTTTTTTTTTCATGATACTTTGTATATTTGTTGAAGTTCTGTTCGTGTACCTCAATTGGCAGTGTTATTTATTATCATCATCATCATCATTATTATTATTATTAATATTATTATTATTATATTTCATAAGATTCATCAAAATATTTTTGAAAGCGCTTCGGTGAAAATTGCATAGACACTCTTTTGACTTATTGATCAGTACAATCTGCAGCAGTTTAAGTTTACATTCCTGAAATTTTTTTTTTCCCCTAACTGTAGGATAATGGATAACTTTCAAAACGACGCCCTTGAATACGTCGTTGATGACTACTACGACGACTCTGATTTCGAGAATTCCTTCGGTGAGCCGGAGCCTCAAAGAAACAACGGCGACTTTGAGTCCTTAGATTCGGACTTTGAAGACGATTTTGAAACAGTATGTTTCTTTCTGGTGCCTAGTGGAGATTTTGATTTTTCACTTTTTTCTTGTAGAGATTTTTTTTTTTTTTTGGGCTAAATGATGAATTGATTTGTCTTTGGCGGTTTTGTGGTTACAGAGTAAGTCAAAAACTGATACATCGGCTTTAGAAGCTAGAAATGGAAAAGATATACAGGGAATTCCTTGGGAGAGGCTTAATTTCACCAGAGACAAGTACCGTGAGATGAGATTGAGACAATACAAGAATTACGAAAACCTCTCCCTCTCTCGTGAGGAGATTGAGAAGGTAATGTTTCCGTCGGCCTTTTCTCTTTATTCTTTTGAATAAGGAAATTTGATTTCTGATTCTTTTCTATCCATTGAAAAGCCTAATACTCGAGGTAATAACATTTAATGTGTTTTGAATTCATTTTCAGTCATGTTTTCATAAGAAAATAAAACTAATAGAAAGAATTAAATAGCTGGAAGGAAATTTAGGAGAAAAAGTTATTGGAGAAAGATGTTATGATGTGGTTTATAGATACCTATTTTGTATTTGGAGTTTTGGTGGCTTTTATTTATCTTTCTGCTATTGTTTGCTGCTTACAGGATTGCTTGCAAGTAGAGAAGGGGAAGACATTCTATGACTTCCAGTTCAACACTAGGCTTGTCAAATCTACAATTGTGCATTTTCAGGTGGAGATTTTGCATCTTGCTGTAACCTATTTTAATTGATCTGCTTTCTGTGTGTGAAATTGTTCCCAATTTATTTCTAAAGCAGATCAATCTATCTTTGCTGTCTTGCATCATCATAGTTTGTGTCCAGGTTTATTTCTGTAGTTAATGTTTTAAACCTTCACTATTTGTGCAACCTCTAGTCTCATGGTTTGCTTGTCTGATTATTATGTTTCACTCTTGTCATCCTCATTACTTTCAAATTTAATTGTAGCTCTGTGCTTCAAACATCGATGGTTCATTGAAAGTATGGAGTTTACAGCCACTCAATGTGATATTATTAGGTTTCTATAGGTTTTCATCATGTTCATTGATTATCTGGGATGTAAATAACTTGCCAACAGCTACGTTAGGTTTTGAGAACTGCTTCAGATTTTAGTATGGTGTCGTGAGGCCGTGGTTAGAACCCTTATCAGGTGTACAAAAGTGGTGATACAATTTTCCCCTGTTATGAACTATGAAGCATGTCTTTTTTGACTTAAAATTATTAACATGTTCTATGAGGTCCTTTTTATTAAAATTTTATTAATTCATCCAGTTTAAGGCATCAAGCTGGGGTTTTATTCACTAAATCCTTTTTTCTGCAGATTGGTGAAGGACGCTTAGTTTATACTTGAGCATGCTAACAGTTATACAAATAGTAAATTTAAAAGCATTATTTGCAGAGGTACAATCTTGATTATGGATAGCAATGCTTCATGGCTGGGGTATGAGTTAAGCTTTTTGGTATATGTTAACAGGTTTTGTGAACGAAACACCTGCATACATGCAACCAAGTACTGCAATGTCTAGAATGAAGACTATGACAACCTATGGGACATGGTTAATAGTTTTCTCCAATGTAGCATTGTATTAAGCCACATTGTTAGGAGTCTATAGATATGAAAGTTTTGAATCACTTACTTTTGAGCTTGAAGGGTAATAGTAGCCATGTTCTCTAAAAGTTCATTCTTTGAATCATCAGGTGTTAACACTGCTTGTTGACACAATTTTTTTTTTCTTTTCTTCTTCTTCTTCTTTTTTATTTTTATTTTTTATTTTTTATGTGGCATCATAATAGACTGAATAGTATGCATATTACCTTCTGCATTAGCATCCTTAATAGTTGGATTTTATTCTTGCATCATCATAAAATCTTTATTTTCCTTGTAATTTGTGGATGCAAAAATATCTTGTTTATGTTGCCTGTTTATATGGATTAACCTCTGTTGCAATTAGGACTTCTATTGCTTTCTCATTTCAGCCTTCAAAGCAGGTTGGGAGTTGTTCAGGGCAGCAGGTGCGCTAAAGATACATTGTTTATATGGTATGATAGGAAAATGTTTGAGTATTTACGAGGCCTATGTAGCAATTCCTATAATTTTGGCGTGCTGACATGGCCATAAGGGAGCTAATCGAAGTTTTCACCCTGTTAGCTAGTTTTAGATTTTGTGTTTTCATTGTAGTTATTGACTCCTTTTAGCATGTTTTCAGGTGCATGAACTTGTTTGCATTTATTTTATTTATTTTTCTTCTCAATCTTATTGTGTGCTTCACATGGATGTTGAAGTCAATTGATATGATCTCTTTTTATTCTTAGATGTATATTGTCTCTGGCTGAATGGTGTGCTCTGAATTTGTAGTCATCTGTGGAGCACTTGTTGCCTGTAAAAAATGTGGTTTGTGGTGTCTGTAAATTTTTGTGATCACTTTGATTTATGTAGTATTCTTGTGTATGTTTATGTGGTTAGTTGCAGTTTCCTTAGTTTTCTTCTTTCCTTTCTTGGTGAGGAAGGGAGCTTTTATGGAAGAAGAGTGTCTGGATCCTTACCAGATCAAACTGCTGTTGCAGTTTTTTTTAGCATTATTTTCTGTGTTGTTTTTTTCTTGCCGCTTCATTGCATCTGCATTTTCCTTTTATATAAATTTTCTCCTTCATGGCCAAAGAGTAGCAGTTTTTTTTTTTTTTTTTCGGTTCTTTTCCACATATACTTTCTTTTGTTTCCATTTGAGTTTCCTTCCATATGTTTTGGATGGCAGCTGAAGCTTAAATTTCTTTGGAGGATGTTCTCTCCTTTTCTTTTCTTTTTTTCTTTTTTTCTTTTTTTCTTTTTTTTTTTTGAACCATTTTTTTCTCATGTGCATTTGCGTTATTTACTTTCATGGTCTGTTCAAATTGTTTGCCCATGTAGGTGGACACCTATGATTGCTACAATTTTGTGTCTCATTGTGGATTTAGTCATGCTTTTTTAAGTTTTAACATCATAGAGTACAAGTAACAAAAATATTCTGCTAGAATGCATTGAAGTGTGGTGTCTACCATGGGCTTCTATTACTATACAACAGTGCATATTTTCTATAGACACTTAATATCACGATTTCTTTATGATGGAGAATGTCTTCTGTCATACATTTGTTCTTGTTTGCATGGTAGAATGCTGTTACAATGGTCATCATTTGGTTTCTTTCCTTTGTGCAGCTGAGGAATTTGTTATCGGCAACATCAAAGCATGATGTATACCTTATGCAGAATTATTCTGTCATGCACTGGTCATCAATGCTACGACGGGGCAAAGAAGTTTTGAATGTCGCTAAACCAATTGTTCCCACTCTCGTAAGTAGACTTCCTCAGCTACCAATCATGGACATGATACTTTTTGCTTGATTTGGAGAAGCCTGAATTTCTTTTTCATTGTGATATGTTCACAGAAACGTCCTGGATTGTTATCTCAGTCACTCTCTAGAGTGCAGATAAGCACCATGGCAGTTAAAGAGAACTTGATGGTGGCTGGGGGTTTCCATGGGGAACTTATTTGCAAGGTACATGTTAGCTAGGTAGAAGCCTTTCCTGTTTGGTTTGCTGTTTTCAGTTTAAGTAACAGTTTCGAGGATTTGTTTTCTGATCAGTATATAAATCAACCTGGCGTTGCATTTTGCACCAAATTAACATCTGATGAGAATGCGATCACCAATACTCTGGATATCTACCGTAATCCTAGGTGAGTTACTACTCTTTGGCTGGAACTTTAGAAGTTCTTGATGACAGTTTGATAGACCTGCCACTAAACCTCTATCTTTACAGTTGGGCAATGAGAGTTGTGGCAGCAAACAATGATGCTCAAGTTAGGATTTTTGATGCTGAAAATTTTGCTTGCCTTAACTGCTTTTCATTCGACTGGTCTGTAAATGTGAGTAATTCTCTTGATTTCATTTATTAAATTTGTAGTCTTTGCCCTCCTGCACCCATGCTTACAAAAAAAACTTGGTGGTTTTCTTTGCAGAATACTTCTGTTAGTCCAGATGGTAAACTGTTTGCTGTCCTTGGGGACAGTGTTGAGTGCCTGATAGTTGATGCTCAGTCTGGAAAAGTATTCCATTCCCTTCTATGATTCATAGAGTTAATATGCTTTTTAATTATGGTTGTTCCAGAATCTAATTTGTTAACACTTCACATGATGCAGGTAACCGGGAGCCTGAAAGGGCATTTGGATTATTCTTTTGCTTCAGCCTGGCACCCAGATGGTCGAATTCTGGCCACTGGGAATCAGGACACTACTTGCCGGTTATGGGACATAAGGAATCTATCAGAGTCTCTGACTGTGCTGAAAGGAAGGATGGGTGCAATTAGGGCTGTCAAATTCACATCAGATGGTCGGTTTTTGGCCATGGCTGAGCCAGCAGACTTTGTTCATGTCTTCGATACAGAATCAGGTTATGTCAATTGTCAAGAAATTGATATGTTTGGAGAGATTGCTGGAATATCATTTAGCCCAGACACAGAAGCTCTGTTTGTTGGAGTTGCAGATCGCACCTATGGCAGCTTGTTAGAGTTCAACCGCAAGCATTATAATCAATATCTGGATTCCATTTGGTAGTTACATTTTAGCTTTACCTACATAGGCAGGCAATGTGTATATTTAGTGGAGGTTTCTGATTTAAGACGTTCCTTCTTGAAGTGCCCGGGTAAATTGGGTTGTATTTTCCTCCCAGGGCATGAGTGGCTACGATGGTTTCTATATATATATATATATATATATATGCTTAAAATATATGGAAATTTTGCTTTTGTAAAGGTCTAGTTTGTTATTCTGTACATTAGATGGACTTGTGTTAGAATTCATTTTCTAAAAATGGCTATAATTTGTCTCTGATCTGTGATCTCTGCGTGTTGTATAGATATGAGATTGAGTTTTTCCTGTTAAATTATAATTTCAAATCAATTTTGCAGTATTTTTTTCTTTTATTTCTAATGAGATTGAGAACCAATGTGTAATATTCTAAATCGAAATTGTTCTGACCACTGGGTTGGCATTTTGAGGCTAATTGAATATCAATTTTCTCTTTTCACCTGAAGAAGATCATCACCCACTGTTCCGCTAGTGTGGTTTGGCCGTTTTCCCCCCTAATTGATGGATGCGTTATTCACTGGCAGCCATGGACGCCGATGTCCAAACAACCAGGCTATCTGCCTTAATTTTGTGTAATTTGAATCACCAAATATACTTTTGGGATTGATGGTAAATTGCAACAGTTTAGAACTTCCCAGACGCCTCTAGGATACTACCGAGCAATCTTTTTCATGGTGTGTGTGTCAGATGGGGACATAACCTTTGAAGGAAAGTTGCTGCCTTGTTGGCTAGCTTTGCGTGTCAAACTCTTAAAACTGGTTAGGTCTATTGCTCCTCAAGAGGAAATCAAAATTCACTCTAATTCTACGTCACCGGGCAGTCTAAAGCGTCCAGCGACGCCATCAGGAAAACACTAATCACAAGAAAAGACACGGTGGCCGTAGGTATTAAGCATCTAACAAGTAACTAGGTGTAATGCAAATTGAGATCATTGATTTGGTATAGCCTCTTTGTCTTAGGTGTTATGCATCTGTCTCCGCCTGTTAGCATCGTCACTCATTCTAGAGTTCTCTTAAACTAAATGTTTGTTTGCTGCTTTAAATCTTCCAAAAATCTTGCTATGACTAACTGGCTCTAAGACAAAGAGGCTATACCAAATCCATGGTACTTAAACCATACGAAGGTACCCAATGGGCTGTGGTTTTGCTCTTTGTTGAAATAGAAATCATAAAGGATTTGTTTGAAAATTCGAATATATATTTGAAAGGTGTATTGTAAATATATGTATTTATAATATATATAATTTTAAATACATATATTTTTAAATTTATTATTTGGATTAATAAAATAACAATGAATTTGGTATTTAATTTGTTTATTGAAAAAAAATAAGAGAATTGAAATTCATTAAGTTAAAAAGGTATTTCAAATATCTAAATTTAAAATAATAAAATACATAAACCCAATTACATATATTTAAGATAAATTTAATTACATACTTATTTTGTAAAAATAAATAATAATATTAAATTTGAAAGGTGAATATTTGAATACACTATAAAAATTACGTTCCCTGACATAACATTGGTTGAGTTTAGTTTGATTTAAATTCCATGATTTTGAGCGACTCCTTAGTACAAGCAAATCTGAAATGCCTTTTAACTGGTCCTGTAAAAAACTTTGATCCATCCGTCAATTTTTCAGTATATGATTATCAATTGGGCTAGTGTAGGTCCCAGGAGAGACTTATGAAACCTTATCTAAATAGTTGTGACTGCAAGAAATTCAAAGGGACTCGTTCAATGAACCCTTCAATTATTAATGAATAACTTTAAATGCTGAGGATTCATAGCCTAATTGATAGGGAGATTTACATTTTTTTTTTATTTAAGTTTTTGATTTGATTAATTTTATAAATGTTTGAAAATCACTCCACCTACTAGTATTTACTAAGATTTTATATACTAAAATAACAAATATCATTTATTAAAATTATTTACAAAAAATAATAAAAAAATAATTTTTTAATAAATTTTTTAGTTGAGTTGTGAATATTATCTTTAAAAAAAGAAAAAGAATTAGTCTACACAAAATTATTCCAAATTACCCTTAGGCGCGGGTATGGTTACCAATCTCTGAAGCAATTTGCAAAAAAGCCACATATTGAAACCTCAGTTTTGATGTAGAAAGTTTTCTTCCAAAACATAAAATTCAAAGTCAAATATGGTTGATTTTTTTTTTTTTAAATGATCAATTGTATTGTTTTAAAATCAAATAGCTTAAAGGAGCGATTGGTTGGAGGAAAATTTTCTTCCCTGAATGTTTTAAAATTATTTTTATAAAATTATTTTTATATTTTCATGCATTAATATTATAACAAAATAAAAAATAAAAATGACATTTTAAATTTTTTATTTTCTCTAACATAAATTTTAATTCTTAAAATCTTTTACACACCTCAAAAAAAAATCTTATAATTTTTCTTATATTGAATCTATTTAATAACTTTCTCTATATTGATTTTTTATATAATATTTTTATAATTATTTTTTAATAAAATGATCTTCTAATTAAACAGATCTTAAAGTAAATT